TAGGACGTTTTATGGCTTTTCGTAATAAACCAAGCCGTTAATATTATTTACTTTGTGCACCAGCTACACACACATGCACTGCACAGTTATTTCACTGTGTGTATTATTTATTATAATTCAGTGCAGTTATCGTTGTTTATTGTTTCGTCTATTTCTATATTTCTAATTGCTGCTGTTCTCTTTGAGTATATTTCATTGGTTCACTATAACGACACTTTAGTCTTTACATCCGTTCATTGGTTTGTTTTAGTAGGTTTGAAATAACAAAACTGATTAACATTCTGTGATTTCTAAGAGCTCAATAGTATAAAATGAGTCAAATTACTAAGCTACAGACCATAAACCATTTTTAATGCATGGATTTCTCTATGTTCACATTTTTCTGAAGGTTAACAATAACTGTTTGTTTAAAAGTACAAATTTCTTAGAGTAAAATGTGGCAAATGTCTGCTTTATACTGACAGCAAGGGGTAGTTTTTTGTGCAAGTTAAATCCACATTTTGGTTAAAGTTTAGAAACATGATGATTATCCCGCTGTCTTAATGGTGTGTCATGAGGTATTTTGTTAAATGATCAATTTTTCTGCATTGCAGATGGAGGTTCAATGCTGAAATTTGTCACAAAAGAAGATGGGGTGTCCTGATCCAGCACTGCTCCAGAGGCACCAGCAGCTGCACAGGTACAGACACAGGATGCAGCACTGAGGACCGTCCAGCTCTACGGGTACAGAGAGAGTTTATTCCTTACCTTTTGCAAATGTTTGAAACTGGGAATGTTTCTGAAGAAGACACGTCAGTGTTTATTTAGATGTAAACTATTATTTTATAATGTAAAGGTTTTAATGTTAAGTATAATTCTCATTGTTTATATGCATATTTCTATGTATAAATAAATAAATAAGTAAATAAATAAATAAATAAATAAATAAGTAAATAAATACATATTTAAATATACAGTTGAAGTCAGAATTATTCGCCCCCCTTTGATTTTTTTTTCTTTTTTAAATATTTTCCAAATGATGTTTAACAGAGCAAGGACATTTTCACTGTGTCTGATAATATTTTTCTTTTAGAGAAAGTTTTATTTGTTTTATTTCGGCTAGAGTAAAATCAGTTTTTATTTTTTAATCATCATTTTAAGGTCAATATTATTAGCCCCTTTAAGCTATATTTTTTCCTGATAGTCTATAGAACAAACCATCATTGTACAATAACTTGCCTAATTACCCTAACCTGCCTAGTTAACCTAATTAACCTAGTTAAGCCTTTAAATGTCACTCTTAAAGGGGTGGTCCAGAAAGTAATTTGAAGGCTTGGTTGTGTTAATAAGATGCAAAGCAATGTGTGCTCATGTTTCACTTGAGGGAAATCATGTTATTTTGTCATAAATCTCACTTTGATTATACACAGCTACTCAGCTAACATGAAAACGACTGACATATTTCCTAGTTCCTGTGAAAGGCCCGCCCTTAAGTGACTCTGATTGGTCATCGTCATAATGTGCTGTGATTCGCGGATCGGCTCCACGTCACGCCAGTACAAGCATGCGTGTTTTGTGTAAACAGTCAGTCAACAAGTGTCTGTAATGATTAAAAATGGGATGCGGCTCCTTTGAGAGAGTGTTTGTGTGCCGTTGTGTGTGTTTATACTATAAGTCTAGTCAATTGGTGATTTCAAAGTCAAATACATTTGATTAAACTATTTGAATTATATTTTAATCATAACCTACAGAAGATAAAATGGTTGTTTTTAATAGTAAAAAAAAAAAAAACAACATGCAAATGAAAAGCTATCAGCCCTTAATTATTATTTTTTTTTTTGCATATGATTGGTGTGTTTAGGTTAGATTATTAACAAAGAAAAAAAGCGTCAGCTGCAGCAGATTGATTTTATAGCACCAGGTTAAACTTTGACACCTTTATGGCAATCAAACACATTAAAAATAAATACAGGCCACAACTGAAATTTGAGAATGATCTCTGATTGGGGGTCTCAAAAATTAAAAGAAAGAATAGACTTGTGCTTAAAACATTGTCAACTATCTCTGTAGCTGTGGTTAATATTAAACAAATTAATAAATGACAAAAAATTATATGGTTGTTAGACTGTTGTATTGTTTTGTGTTGTCAATATGGTAGTGTTTATATAGGGCTATTGTTTTGTTCGCAACATTTGTATATTTATAACCCCCTCCGAGGAATTTGAAGGTCGCAAGTCACTGGCATTGTTATTTTAGGGGTCGGTGCTGAAAAGTTTGGGAACCCCTGGTGTAGCATGTGCCAAAACATGACCAAATTTATAGACTGAACTTGCTATATTATATCAAGAAGATCAGTGGGGCTATAATTGTATGTTGAATTTGACAAAACAAGCCACTACCACTAATCATAATACTTTAGCATCATTGTTCCCACCCAGGCCCGGATTGGCTAATCGGGAGGACCGGGAGAATTCCCGGTAGGCCGGTCCGTTTTTTGGCTGCGAGGGCCGGTGTCCCTATCTCCAGAATCTGTTGCTCTCAGCAGTCACACTTTTTAAATTAATTAACTTATTTACTTGACCACAGTCTTCTTATTCATTATTTTACCGCAGCTCTGCTCTTCATATATAACCAGCCTGCAGGTTAATGATGATATAAGTCAGATGAGTCACCCTTATTATTCAACTGTTGTGGTCCAGTGGTTAGCACGTTACATTATGACGCCGCTGACCCGGGTTTGATCCTCGTCTATCCTCGTTAAGACATATAATACTGTTAGAGTTGTTGCACATTTGAAGTTCTAAAGCAGCTGTTTTCTCAAAAAAAGACGTGATAGTGTAATTACAAACTGAATTGGAATGACCTTATTTTAATATAGTCAGTCGTGAACTGAGGTGGGCCGGTCTGAGGCTTGAAACTCCAGGGCTGAAAAGGAGTCCCACTCCAGCCCTGTTCCCACCTATCAGCAATAAAACTAAAACTGGTTGATTTACCCCTAGAGGGAACATAAACCTGTTTTAATTTTACTATAAAAAACAAACAAACAAACAAACATCTAAAACTTTTGTCACAAATAACACGGCCACAGATGGGTCGATGACTAGGGCCATTGAGAGACAGAGAGCTTTATCTAATGAGATGGAGGAGCACTGAGGTATTAATAACCTCACTGATCAATGCTTCACTGATATGTTTGGGAAGTAGAAAGGTGTGATAATTTCTATAATTACTTCATTGGGCATGTTTTTAGGAATTTTGGTTTCTTGTGGATGTTGTTGTATACTATATCAGATCTCTGTGTAATAGAATGATGTTGACTGTAATTGAGAAAAGAATGCTGCTTTACCTTATGGTATGCCCCTCCTAGGAGAAAGAGCGGCTGACTATGAGGAGGAGGAAGAAGAGGAAGAAATGTGATCTCTTTTAGAGATCAAGAGAGGGAATTTGAAGGAATGTTTGATGATTTAAACTTCATCTTATGCATTAATAGACTAATCCTTGGATTAATAGTTTAATTCTGTTTTTACTACTTGCATGAACTTATGCTGATGTGTTTATCCTCATATAACCTCATGTGCTAACCTCATATAATTTTGCTCCATAGCTGTGCCTTTGTGTGACTGATAACCGAGAAGCTAACTCCTCTGTACTCGTTATTAACTTAATGTTACATTTTTTGTTCCAGAGTGTGCTCATTTACAGGAACAATCACGTGCGGAGGGGCTGAAGCTCACTCTCTTGCAGGCTCTGTTTTGTGTATGCGTAACTTTTTCTGTGCAGATCTGCTGTTCTGCCTAACACCTGGGCCCGGTTTTTCAAAAGGTTTAATCCGAATCAAATGGATCCAGATTTAGTAATTCTGTTTTTGCAATCCGTGATCAAGTAATCCAGCTTACTTTTTGAGCCAGTTTTTCAAAGCAACATCGGATTGGATCAATCTGATCTGGATAGGAACTTTTCAGGATCACTAAATCTGGATAACCAGTGCTCAAACAGGATAGGACATCACAATGTAGAACTATAGATATGTAAAGAGCGACAAGTAGAATAGTCAGCGTGGGGTCAATATAACTTTATTTTTAAAAAAATGAAAACTAAGAAAATGTAATAAATGTTAAATTAATAATAATAATAAACAATAAAAGCAAGAAAAAGCCCACCCCATCCTCTTCCAGCAGTCCGCTCATCTAAGACCTACAACACTGTACATTTAGAATATTTATAATAAGTTTCAAATATAGATATAAACAAAAAAAAGACTTAATGTCAAAAACTCCACAATAATGTCAGACTTCCTCATCTGATGTGGAGAGAGCAGCTTGTCTGAGCGTATCCTTTAGGAGGCGGATCTCAAGTCCTTGGCCTTGGTTTGCTGCAGTTTGGTCAGAGTCAGTTGTTCCTCTGTCAGATGAAGCTGTGCTTCTGCCCTTTCAGTCTCTTTTTGCAATTGTTAAAAGAGATTTTTTTAAAAATCAGTCATTGCCATTCTTTGCACTTTTTTTTTTGTTTTGTTATTCTGTAATCATTGCATGCATCACTAATAAATATTCTAAAAAGAAAAATATTTTCCATTGTGATGAATATATATATCAATTAAAGACAGAATAAAATTGATTGTTTTTGGTCAGTTTTGACAGCTGTTTGGGGGATTATTTTATGAGGCCAAACTCTTTCTTTGCTGTAGGCCTATACTTAAAGCTGAATACGTTAAAGCCTTTACTCACTATAGCCTGACAGATGAACAAATAAAATTAAAACTTTATGAATAAATAGTATATCTCGTAAAATACTGCATGATCCAAAAATAGTATTATTTAATAATTTTTTTAAGTTTTCATTACATTTTGGGCATGAAATCCACGCTAAATCCACCCTTCTGATGGGATCAGTTTAATCCAGGTTATTTATACTTATTTATATTTATAGATCCTACAATAAAGGTCTGAAAAACCCAAACTAAAGGTTTGATCCGGATCAAAATTAAGATTGGATTACGTGATCTAATCCGATTATGTAATCCGCTTTTTCTTTTGAATAACCCATTTTCAAGATTTGATCCAATCCCTTATCTAAAATCCTAGTGGATTACTTTTAAAAAACCGGGCCCTGATGTTTGAACTGATGTGGATGGAGGATCTTTCTTACTGAAGTGCCCCTGGGCGGGGCCGTAGAGAAATCGGCGATATATACTTGGCTGCGAGGGTTAGAGAGTGTGGAATGCCCACATGTAAACCTCATACTGTAAAGGGTTTATTCTTCAGCCCAGAGCGCTCTGTATGCTTTATCCATTTGATTCATTAAATTAATTTAAACTTATTTGAAGCCTCTGACCGATCATTTAACCTGGGGGACAAGGAAAAGTCCAACAAGACCCACACGGTGAGCAAAATTAGCAGTGTCCTGAAGAGCATCTGGAACAATCTTTACTAATGTTGAGAGCCACTTATCGGACATTTTCAGCATGTTTTTCGGTAACACCGTTTAGTTTTAAACAGCACCTCCAACTGTAGCGCTTACAATCTAAGTACACTTGTGTTATTTTCAAGAGTGTAGGTGGAATAGATCTATTATTACGGTGTGATTTTTCAATACAAAAACTCCCTCTTAAATTATCAGAATTTCATTAACAGGTTCTGTTATATTGGCAATTAATTTACAAACATAATTTTTCCCCACATAATTCACCAATTTGGAACAATAGGTACATTTTATTTAGAAACAAATCTTTTTTTATGAAGACTGATGGGAGAGAGGTATTTGGTCGGTTGTCCATCTATTAGACAAAGAAGGTGAGGTTCTCAGTCATAGAAATTTTTGTGAAAAATATAACTTTGAATGTGATCATAAGCAATACACTAGGGTATTAAAATCTATTCCGAAGGCATTTCTAACGATGGTTAGTAATGTGGTTTCCAATATAAATTACACACTTCATCTGCCTTGTTTGTTGATAAATGGACAAGATTTTATTCGGAGTGAAATACCCAATAAAATAATAAGATCGATATTAACCCAAGATAAATTTCCAATACAAGCTAATAGAAATAATATCTCTTTTCTTTTTTCCAAGAGCTCTATTACCGAATTAAGAACAATGTCTCTTTCCTTCCCAATACCTCCCAAAGCTAAAGAAGTACATTTTTTAATTTTTAATAATATTTACCCATCTTCAGAGTTTCTTAGACATAGATTTAACTTTGATCACAACAACTGTACATTCTGTGAGATTGACATTGAATCTGCACATTTATTTTTTGAATGTTTATATAGCAGAACCTTTTGCTCCCAATTTTCTAAAAATTATATTTTATTTGGTTTATTAGGGTAAGATGTTAATATTCAATTTGTATTGAACAATATTTTAATTTTGGGAAAATGTTATATTCATAAATGCAAGTGCCTTAAAACCAAACCACTGTTTTTAGTTTTCCAAAAGGAATTTTGGCTATACTGTAAATCTTTACAGCTGATAAAATCAAAATGTGGAAGACTCTTTAGTCTATTGAAAATTTTAAATTAATAGAAGACCCGATGTAAATGTTTTTTTTTTCTTTTTTTGTGTGTCTTTTCTCTGGTTTAAGTAACTTTTTTTCATTTTGATTTACTATGTTAATGACTTTATTATTTGTGCTCTGTTCTATAAATGTAGATAATAGTTGTTATTCAAATTTTGCCTTACTGTAATTGTGTTATGATGCAATAAAAAAAGTACACTTGTGTTCAGCGATTAGTTTCCTCTCTCAGCGCGCCAATCTCTGCTTCAGATGATTAAGAGTCTCTCTGTGCTCACTGACATCCAGAAGCAGCTGTCGCGCCGTCGCTGTCAAACTTTTCATTTGTAGCTCAGCTACAACAACCTCGTTTTTCGGACAAGTGTCAAATCATGTGATTCCGTATCACATTGGAAATTCAGTCCAGAGCTACAGGCCGATGCCGAGCCATCAAGTCCGCCGTGTGGGACGCGTCAAAAAACACTCATGCCAGACCTTGCGTGATTAACTTTATTCTTGCTTCTTATCCCTATGCACAAAGATGTCAAAAGAGTTATATAACGTCTACGCGTATTTTATAATGTCATCACCAGTGTTAAGCAGTAGGTTGATATACCACTTTACCTTTTAAATCCTGAAGAACAAACGCGAATACCTGTACCTAGGGCGCCGCCATCTTGGTCTCCCTCCACGTTACGTCATCTGATTAAATAGAACGCGTTCTAAACTGCGAATGTCACAATTAACCAGACGCCTGACAGAGTAGACGAATATTGAGAAGCTCCGCATTTGGACACTCAGACAAGGCGAACAGATTTACAATCAGATAATTAATTGCAGTAAATTGATTCATATACTTTTGATAAAGTTATTTACTGATAAGTAAATGGAACAGAGTATGTTTTATGTTCCTGGTCCTTCGGGACGAAGCAGAGCATCATCTATGCTGAGAATAGGGCCTTCTCCTGGTTCTGGTAACTTTACATTTTAATGTATTTTTTTGTTTTATATTGTATTTTTTGTATTGTATGTATTGTAATGTTTGAGGTTGTTAAACCCTTCTGTTGCTGTTTGGTTGTTTTCACCCACTCTGGAGTCATTTTAAGGCTTAATTTGGCTTAAACTTGCTGTTTTAGCGAAGGAGTGATTTTTTATGACAAATTTTATTTTGACACATTTTGGGAAAAGTTTTGAAAAAAAAAAAAGTTAAAAAAAATTTTTAATTCAGGTCAAATTGACTCCACTTTCATTATGCTCCCTGTTGTGAAGAGGTAACATTTGTAATTTTCGCTGATGATTATCAGTTGCAGTGCAAAAAGCTTAGTTAATGGCTTTTATATGGAGGTGTGTGTCTGTGTGTGTGTGTGTGTGTGTGTGTGTGTGTGTGTGTGTGTGTGTGTGTGTGTGTGTGTGTGTGTGTGTGTGAGAGAGAGAGAGAGAGAGAGAGAGACTTTTGCACACTTACAAAAACAGCCATCAGCATAATAAAAAGGTAGTCAATTTGAAAAAGGGTTAAATTACTTTATTCTGTCTGTTCTGGCATTACAAGCACCTGTCTCAATTTAACATGTTGTTTTTTTGTCTTTCAGTGAAAGAAAAGTATGATGTCAGAGAAAAAATAGGAGAGGGCTGCTACGGCCAGGTCTACATCGGTATCAGAAAGTCGGACCGAAAACAGGTACGTCTATTCTCCCTAGTCCAGTTTAGATGACATAAACTAATTTGATTGCTCACTCATGTTTTATTCTGCTTTTCATTCACAGTTTGCCATCAAGGTAACTGATTACGGAGATAACAGCGGTGTGGTAAGTCTAAAAAGATCATCCGTGATATTTGAAGCTTCACAAAATACACTTAATCGAGTCTGTTTACGGCTGTGCAGATAATATGTACAAGCTTTATACAAATATCTGTCAATTATTTTGTGATTCACTGCTGTTTTCTGTTTATTTACGGTTATGATGGGACCTTTATCTGTGCTCTGCCGAGTTTTGATGCTGAAAATTCAACTCTGCAGTTTCACAGTGACTTTATTAATGACCTTTATATTTCTATATAGAACAGAAAAAGTATTTCCAGTAATCATACTTATAATAATGAACATGCACAATATTGTTGCATCCAACATGCCATGAATAATTATTATTTACACTTAAGAATATTCAGATTGTTTTATTCTGCGACATGTTGAAGACTTAACAGGCCATTTATTTTCAAACTTAAACATTTTCTCATGTCAATCTGGGCTACGACATTGAAAATTCAGTGACTGTTTGTAAGTCTTGTGTTTGTAAACTCTGCCGATAAGGTCATCTTGTTAACATCAGTTAATTTATCTAAAGTAGTTTAGTTTATACTTCATTTTAGTGTTAACTATTGTACTTTATAATCTTTTGCATGTATTATATAGGCAATACACTATGTACAGCCTAGCTCAATATCTTGATAATACCAAAGCTTCTGCAATTGATCACAACATGAAACTCTAATACCGTCAGAAGCCTAATTACCAGGTTTTTACACCACAATTAACACGACCAGATAATATTCATCAAGCTCCCATAATGCAATTCAAAAGCATAAATAAACACACAAAAAACATGAAACACAAAATACGAAAAACTGCTGATTTACAGATTTTCTTTTAGCGTTATATTGGAAAACAGGATTATATGTTGTTGATTTGCAGCTAATGTGCTCTTTATCTTTAGCCTGGCTATGCTGGAGAGCTCCCAAAGGAAGTGGCGATGATGACCATTGTGAGGGATTCCCCCTGCCCGTTCCTCATCAAACTCCAAGAGTGGTTTTTGGTGAAAGAGGAGAAATTGCCAGACGGGGTAAGTCTGTTTATTCAGCACATTACATGAAATATGCACTGTAAGAGGGTTTGTCTCGTTTCCTTTTGTTGTGTTGATTTTGTAACTTAAAATTCTTAAATCAAGAAGCATTTCTGAACAAGAACATAACTCTGTCTTGTTTTCAGAAGAGCTCATGGGTTATTAATATGCCGGTGCGGTAAGCGAAATAAACTCGTTTCTACTTTAAAATCTATCCTGAATGTAACTGGAAGCCAGTGTAAAGACTGACCTGAGGACTGCTGTCATGTGCTTGATTTTAATTGATTGCATTTGCTTTCAGGAAATGATAAGGACAATAGCAATGGTGATAGAGCATCCCGGCCCGTGCAGAACTCTAGCAGAATTCCTGGAGGAGCACCCGAACCTGGAGAGGAGAGACGCTCGCACACTGATCCAGCAGATCGTGAAAGCGGCTCAAGCGTGCAAGAGGCAGGAAATTTGTCATTTTGATATCCACGATCATAATATCCTGGTCATCAGTCCACCTCTGCACATTAAGCTGATAGATTTTGGATGTGGGTTGCACATCTTCCATGGTAAGTCTGATTATTTCAGGAGGAAACTGTAAGCGTTCATTAGTCTCTCTTAGCTGATCTGTTTGCTCAACTCTACACGTCTCTTCCTGACAGATCCAGACAATCACCCACGGCGAGACACAGTGATATCTCCAGTGACAGCGGAACAAATAACGGTGAATCAGCTGGTTACCATCGTGGAGGGCATAGCAAGACATTGTTCCAGCATACCTACAGGTAAGAAGACTACTCTAATGGCCTGTTTCCACTGAGTTGTACAGTGCGGTTCAGTTACGCTTTTATGACCTTTTCCACTGTCAAAAGGCATACCGTACCACTTTTTCGTCACCCTTTCGAAAGGGTAGCAAACACAAGAAAGGCTACGAAAAGGTGGAGCTACATGCACAGCTGAATGCTGATTGGTTACAGAGATGTGTCACGAGCCAATATGGAGGTAGCCAAAATGAAAACAAAGGAACCTCCATGTTTTAAACACACAGCGGAGACATTACACCATAATACTGTATGCATATAATAACGAGCCATGAATGAGAAGTGTTTGTGTGTGTAAAGCATCTGTTTTGTGAGAAGTGCTTCTCGTATGATAAGTGAACGTCCAGTACAGCTTTACTGTAGACATTTATTTGAGCGAGCATGACGTCGACTGAACCTCTCTGTCGTACACCACGATTACCAAAAGGGGACCCTTGCTAGTGGAAATGTGAGCCTGATAAAGGTGACCCGTACCGACCCATACTATACCAGTCAGTGGAAACGGGCCATAACTAACACTGTTCAACCCTCCAGTTGACTTACGGGTCAGAAATGACCCAGACCCCATTTCATATTTTCTTGACGGATGAACACATTTAGGGCACAACAGGGGTCATTGGGGTCAAATTTGAGCTGCTAGCTATGAAAGCATTTTTACACAACGAAAACTACTTACACACACACACTCATCTTTTATGAATACTGTCTTGTTAAACACTCTTTACACTCCTGCAGGTTCTTTTATCATGATAAAATCCCCTTTACTGTAGTGAGAGTTGAGTGTTGAACACTTGAGTGAATACTACTGAAATACTGCACACTATTGAGGGAAAACCCAAACAGTCATAGAGTGTGTGTGTGTGTGTGTGTGTGTGTGTGTGTGATGAAGATCAGCTCGTTTCCTCATGCTAAATAGATTTGAGGATCAAAATGAAACTGATGTGCTTTATTTTAGAGGTTTAGAGACAACAGGAGGGTTAAGTCATGTATGTGTGTGCGTGTGTGTGTCCACGATTAACCAACTTTCTCTTTTAAAATGTTACAGCATTCATGGAGTATATTACTGCCTGCCGGTCATCTTTGAATGTTGAAGAAGTGGTCCAGCATACAGTGGAGGAGATTCTGGATCAGCCGTGGCTAAGAGACTAATGACAATAAAGACATGAGGAACATGAGGAGTTATGATTTTCACTCTCGAACAGGACCTGTTTTAGAGGAGATTATAGAGCACAAGTGGTTCAGCATGACGTAGAGCCCATCAGCAGCAGGAAACAGGTTTTCATACTTCCATTTACGTCAAATTGTTTTGCTGTTTTCCGCTTCTGCTTCCCAAATTCTGCACTTCCTCCTGCGAGTGTTGCAGTCAGAGCTGCATGTAAATGAGGGCCGGTTAAAGCGTCCCTATTGGTTCACCAGCTCTAGACCGACTGCTCTTCCTTTAGCTGATCAGGTGAGGAAGGAAGCTGATGTCAGTCTAATGGCGGCCGATGCGCACAGGCGACGCCGGAGATTGAGTGTTAGCGCTAATCCTCAGCTGGGGTAGAATCTGTCTGCGGCAGGACAGCATTAATCGTTTAAAATAAGTAAGGGAAAGCAGGTTCATTCACGTTTAGACAGGACGTAGTGTTTATATGAACTGGGTTAGCACCGACTGTAGAGTAAATAGTCATATTAAGGGAAATAATCACAGATTAATAAATGAAACTGCTGGAAAGGGGGATTTATTAGCATACGGGTGTGCTTTATTTCTATAGCTGTAGGATTAATAGTAAAAGGTGAAGTCTGTGTATTATTACTGTAGTGCGTCAATACTTTTATAAAGACAGAAAGCCTAGTTTAGACAGTCGTCGTAGCTCTAACGGGACTTTAGGCAGGTTTAAGTGAGATAAGCGCATATAACAGGGGCGTCCTGGGCCAATGGGGATGCTTTAGCCGGCCCTCATTTGCATGCAGCTCTGAATGCGACACTCGCAGGAGGAAGTGCACAATGTGGGAAGCAGAAGCGGAAAACAGCATCATGTCAGAAAACAATGGAAGTATGAATTCCTGATGATGTTATTTAGTCACTGACCACATGTGTGCTGCTCTTCCTATGATTTCTGTGAAATTGAGACTATGAACCCTATGGAGTGTGTTGAAGCTGTTTTCTGTTGATCAAACTGTAAACTATTGTCTTCAATAAACTGTATCTCTGACTCCTGCTCTGTTCATCACACCGGCTCCTTGCATTAACATAACTGAAATCATTCAGCGTAGTGATACGGGACTGTAATGCACTCAAAACATGCCTGAACTACTTTATCTGTGTGTTTATCTGACAATAAGTGTGAACACAACTTCATCAGAAAACCCTTCACAATTGTCTTCTGCAGCTTTCAGCATGGCAAAGGACTCCAAACACCTTAGTAAAGATGAGCGGTCATTCGATAGTGTTTAGGTGGTTCATTATCTTCCCACCACAGGAAATGAAGCACATCTCTTTCCTGAGGTGGCGTCTTGCCTTGTTAACACGCTCTCAATATCAGCATTTAAAGCAATGGGGTCTTGTCTAACCTTTAGAAGAGCAGCTTGTTAGTAAGGTCTGGGCTCTGGTGAATGCAGTCATTTAATGAAGCACCTTGGTTTCGTGCAGCAGTCAAAGACAGTCCTAATCTTTCCTGGCTTTCGTGGATGCAGCACTGGATGATGTGGAAGGTACCACACACACCCATCATCTCTGTTAAAGTCAACAACCTTCTCCGCATAGCCTTAACGCAGAGTCACAGATACCATCTATGTACTTTTGTTGCTGGATCCTTCTTTAACCTCCTTCCCAGAATGTCCAGCTGATATTTAGCCATTGCATATGGAAGTCGAGGTGGGTGTTCTTTGAAAGGTATGGGAAGTGTATAATGAGCGCTCGTTTTTTTTCCACAGCTCCACCACTTGTTTATCGACTATAGAGTTATTGTTCACATGCAGTGGATCGTCCAGTTTCCAGAATCTTTCAACAGCTTGTTGCAGAGAGTTATATTTGGCAGATATACTTGTAGAACCATCAGATATTGGTCTATGAAGCATTCACTCCAGACCAGTTAAAACGGCATACTAGGGGTGTGATGATAACCGCATCGCCGCCTTACCGCCACAACAATGTGGTTATTACCGTCATCACCACCCATTTTTAGTTTAGTATTTATTTTTGCTCGTGAATCTTTCAGGGTTGTAGAAAAACAGAATAAACTAAATAAAAGGCCTGCCCTGAATATTTTCCACTTAAATTACAGATTTAGATTACAGAAGGAGAACACTGACTGAATCCTCTTTAATAACTGGTGTAGGCTGTTTTTGTTCAAGCTTATTTTAATAAAGCAGGCCTACTAACTTAAACTAGCTATACTTGAAACACCCAGGCAGGTGTGTTGAGGCAAGTTGGAGCTAAACCCTGCAGGGCACCGGACCTCCAGGAACGAGATTGGTGACCCCTGCTCTACGGAGAACTCTCATGCAGGAAGGGAACCACAGGGCGCCCAATTCTGCGATTTAAAGATGAAGAGAGTCATGAAAGCCCTTTACATAAACACACAGTCCTCGGAAGACCTCGCAGCAGATCACCTGAAGTGGAGGTGCACCCTGACCAAACAGCTCAAGTCAGGTGGAAAGAACATGATGCATGCGTCGGAGAAGTGAGTCCACTGAAAGGTGAGGAACAATAACAGTCAGGGAGGCACCTACCAATGCGACTTCTGCAGCAAAGAATGCCTCTCCTGTATTGGTCTCTTCAGCCACCAACGACGCTGTCAATCAGTCATGCCTCAAGATAAGAATTAGGATACATCAGGGATCACCAGACTTGTTCCTGGAGGTCCAGCGTCCTGCAGATTTTAGCTTCAACCCTAATCAAACACCTGGACAAGCTAATCAAGTTCTTATTAGGTATACTTGCAGGCAGGTGTGTTGAGGCAAGTTGGAGCAAAACCCTACAGGGCACCGGACCTCCAGGAACGAGATTGGTGATTGGATATATGTTTTTTTTTTTTTTTGCACAAACGTTTGAGGATTTTGTCTATGACTATACATATTTACTCCATCTTTAATGTTTCTGAAAGAACCTTTTGCTCACCAAGTGTGCATTTGATCATAAATACAGCAAAAAATCCTTTTTAACATGCCGATTAGCTACTCAAGAAATCTGTCAAACTCTTATTATTCTTACAAATGTTAAAAGCGGTTGTGCTGCTACATATTTTGGTAGAACAGCCTAATTTCAGGGTTTTGATGAATAGGAAGTTAGAAAAAATATTACGTATAGAATATAAAGGAGCAGCATATTAAAACACTGATGACAATAAATATTTTGATCATCTAATGATCAAACCAAACAGTGAAATCAGCAAAACAGGCGGATTCTGAATTGCAAGATTAATGATGCTGAAAATTTAGTTTACAATGTCATTTATTCCAATGATTAAAGTCTATGCAGATAGAAAAAAAAAACTTTATTTTTAATTGCAATAATATGTCACAGTATTACTGCTTTTGCAGTACTTTTAATAATAATAAATGCAGCCTTGGTGAGCAGAAGTCTCTACAAAATTTATCCATGCACTTAAAAATCAGGAGATTTAGCTTGAACTCTTATAAAGTTTAACCAAACGTCTGTTTATTCACACATAGCCAAGAACCTTTGACTAGCAGAAGACACTGCTCAGGTATATTTCACTATATGAAATAATATTTTGCATCACTTAGTCATTATTGCATTAAATATTTGTCATTGATAACCTTGGATGACTGCATAAACACGTCAAAAGAAAACACTTAATAGGTCTTGGTTTTTTTTACACACCAAATAATGATTAAAAGTTGCCTTAAAAGTGACTATTTGACCTAAAATAAGTGAACCTGATGAAGCTTGGAACAGTAAAGTTGACTTAATATTATATTGATGCTCACAGTTCATTTACTTGATGAAAAAGTGAGTAAATCTGATGCCTTAAAATTACTGATGTCAACTAATCTCTTAAAAAGCCAAAGGTTTATTCTAACGGCCAACTAACTCCTTTTACACTGCACCCAAATGCACTGCCAGAAAATCTGATGCATTTTTTTCGTATATAAAATAAACAAAAAAAAATTTCAATGAACAGTAAATATTTAAAATAAATCATCCATTTGGTAAACCATGGGTGTCTGTAAAACGCATCAAGATACAAGAAGAGTCTGCAACACTTAACTTGAAGGGCTGTTCATAAGGCTGTCATAAAACCTTCATAATCATGACATGTGTATGAAAATTATTAAGTGTCATTCGCTCTGTTATGTCACTTTAAATGCAAAGATGTCAGTTTGTTATATAAACAAGTACATCAAAACCTCTTTTTCATGACAACGTCTTTACCAAGACAACAAAACTAGTCATAAACATGATCGTCATGAGGTGTTATAATTCTGTCCCCTTTAAGTAAAGTGTATCAGATTAATCCTGGGAAAACTCCCTTCATTGGCCCTTACCCATCATGGCCTCCCAATCATCCCCATCCATGTTTCTCCACTCCACCTATAGCTGGTGTGTGGTAAGCGCACTGCACTGCTGTCCTTCGACTGCCGTTGCATCATCCATGGTGGTGGTGTGGAGAGACCCCCTGATTGTGAAGCGCTTCGCGTGTATGGTCATACACAATAAACACACAATACAAATACACATTACATTACAATTAATAACAGTCATTAAAACTCACAACGAATCCACAAAGCCAGGTAATACCATTTTACTGACAGCAGAAAACTTTGTCAATTAAAGGTAAATGCTGTAAACGGTCTACGGTTTATAATCAGACACTGAAACATTTCACGACTCTTTCAACATGGCTTCGTGACTAAACTAGGCCGGAAACCACATCACTTGCCTGAATCTTTCCAGAAAAGACACAAAAATCCCTTCCTCCAGCAGCAGCACCTGCTCCAACCCTCCCCAACACATCCTCAGACACACTTCACAATATCGGAGGCGTCCTGCAGTGCACACAACACATGTAATGCTGAAATAATGCTCTCTAGCTGCGTTTAAATATGCTAATTAGATTTATGCGCAAAACAGTAACATTGCATTAAGCAGGGGTGTCCAAACTCAGTCCTTCAGCTCCAACTTGCTTCAACACACCTGCCAGGAAGTTTCTAGTATGGTTAAGCTGCGGTCACACCTGACTTTTCTCTCCAGGGGCTTCCATTCATGCGCACACAAATGCGTCAGACCGGAAACGAAGGGTCATGCGTTCAGTTTCGCAGGTCGCTGCGGTGCAAAGTTCAAGCTTGATGAACTCTGACCTGCAGAAATCGCATCACTTGACTGCGTGAGAACAATCGAGGGTCAAAACATGACCTCTCTGGACAGAAAATGTAAACATGGAGCAATCGCTCGCTTTTTATAATGTCTAATAATCTTGTTTATTCCCGCCCGGTCACACTAGAGTTTGTGTGTGCGAAATTCTGTCGTGCTGCGTTGCGAAAAGGGGCGAAAATAACACGATTATTAGGCATTAAAAAAGCAAGCGATTGCTCCATGTTTTATATTTCAGTAAATTTCCTAATCGGTTGCCCGGCGAACCAATGTGAATATAAAAGTCACCTCAGCTCAATAAAGCAGGCTAGGCGAAATAGTGCTATTTACTGATGTTTTGTTGTTAAACTGAATAAAAATCAACATTATCGATGCTCTAAAAGGACCTTATGAAGCATCATCTTTCACCGGGAGATTTCAGTGGCGGGACAACACTTCTGTGCATATAACCCATTCATAACAGCACAATCTACATCAGCTCTGCGTGACTAAAGCTGCTTTCACACCTACACTTTTGTTTCGGAACGTATCTCATTTACCCAGTTAGTGCGGTTCGTTTGGCATATGTGAAGAGGGCAATCGCGCTCTGTTCTGCGCCAAAGTAATCGCTCCGAGATCGCTTTAATGAGGTGGTCTCGGCTCGATTGAAACAAACCCTGGAGCGTTTGATTGCAGTGAGAAAGTGATCCGATCCGAGCGTGCTTATATCACAGTGTTTTATGGATATGTAATAGGCTTACGGCTATATGAAGAGAGAATTATGAGTAGGGCGGGAAGTTTCGCGAGTCTCCCGGTAATCTCGCGTCTCCTTCCCGGTCCTTAAATACACATCGTCGCGCACCCTTCTCACCCCTCCCCACCGCATCTCTACTCAGACACATCGCGCGCGCGCACCCTGTCAAACACCAACAAACCACCACCTCTCCTGACAGCTGAGCGGGACGCTGCAAAATAAACCCTGACACTGACCAATGTGAGGAGAGTTTACTCACACGTGACTTGTTTTAGCTCTTTTGGTGCGATTAGAAACTTTGCAGTGTGAAAGTGAACCGCTCCAAGAGCAAAGAGCAACAATGTAACATTTGTAATCTCTGTTTCGGAACAACTGAATCGCTTCACAGGTGTGAAAGCACACTTAAAGTTTTAAAACAGAACTTGACCTGTTTAACAGAAATACTTCAGCCATGATGTCGTTCTTGCTCCAGTGTGCAAAACTAACTCAAACATTTGTTTTTACCGATTTCAATCTCTCTCTCTACTGTGCACATGAGCGCCAAACGGCAGATCTGCCTGAGATGTACAAATCTACATTTGCTGACAGACAGTTTGGGCTACTTATCAGAATTGTGGGAATTATCGGCCTGACAATATTTAATTAGATGAACATTCTTTAGTCTTATGCCCTATCCAGAAAATAAATACAATTGGATTGTGAAGAGACTTTCAACCAGCACAACACGTTTCTGAAGACGATCACCTACTGCACCTTTAATGAACAGAAAAAAAAGTGTGTTTTGTTAACCTTTAATCAAAACCTGAGCAACCACTCAGGAACAGCAGTCCCTCTCTGATGACTCTGATTGGTTGAAATATGCTTAGCCACGTCCTCCCTCCATCCATTAGCTTGCTGTGAAGGAAAGATGAAAGGCGGAGCGCAAAAGTAAAACCCCGCCTCCTACTCAATATTCCAGTTCAGTTGTAAATACGTCAACATGCAGAAATATCTCCTGAAGCCTGCAGCAACTTCACACAGACTTTCAAATGCAATGCAAGCATGTGCTAATATGTACAACTAGAGCGGACACTTGCAGTTGCGTATTTGTGCGTGAGAAAAGCTTAAAGTGTCCGCTGTATTATGTCCTATTAGCATCCAGTCTAAACATCCTGCTTAATACAAAAAGAAAAAAATTACGTGCACATTTGTTCAAAAGCATCTGATGATGTCTAGACTTGAGGTCTAATAAATAACTTCCCCTGTGGGGTACATGATTGATTCAATTAGTAGGAGCAAATATCATATGCAATGTACAGTATATATACACACATTTATAAAACAGACTTAAATATAATTCAGCATATTTATAAACGCCAACAGGCCCAGTTGTTAAAGCTAGTCGCACCTATTTGCTGTATATCCATCAGTTGTGCCAGCTATCAAGCTGTTCTTCCTCAACTCTGGTCCCAGCAAAACATCTGAGAAGCAACTTAAAAAGCTTCTGAGCATATTTCAGGCTTCTAAGTGCTTTAAATCAGTCAACATAATGACAACGAGTGCCTTATTGTTAAGCAGGAGTAGAAATGGATGCCCCGGACATGTTTGGTTGCAGGCAACAAGGTACCAGAGAGAAGTTCTTCATCCTCACATCCACAGTCACGCCACTATTGTGGATCTCTTGCCTGCGGAGAGCAAAAAAACAACTTGTTTACATTTATGCAAGTCATTTCTATTAAAATAAGCTGCATTGCAATTAAGGTGATCACTTCTTATATTCTCAGGAATGCAAGTCACATTTTTAATAATCCGAAACATGCTGTTACTCGTATTCCAAAAGAATACAATTAAAATCACAAGGAAAACACGCACAAAAAGCCATGCATCTGTGCTAGTGATTCAATCAAACGGTTATGTGAATTATGAACCGGGTCATATTCAATTCAATTCAATTCAGCTTTATTTGTGTAGCGCTTTTACAATGCAGATTGTGTCGAAGCAGCTTCACATAAATGGTCATAGTAACTGGAACAGTGCGGTTCAGGTTTTAGTGTTTAAGTTCAGTTCAGTTCAGTTTAGCTCAGTTCAGTGTGATTTAATCATTACTGAGAGTTCAAACACTGAAGAGCAAATTCATAGATGCGTAGCTCTACCAATCCTGAACCATGTGAGGCAGTGGCGACAGCGGAGAGGGAAAAAAAACTTCACCTGATGGGAGTGAAGAAAAAAAACCTTAAGGGAACCAGACTCAGTTGGGCACGACCATTTTAATTTCTAATATAATTTCCATTTTAATTTTAATTTATATATATATATCAGGACTATGGGGTATATGCCGAGCTAATGTGTTTCCCATACTGATAAACTTCCGGTGAGCTGTTATTGTGAGTTTTTTTCATTTTTTAGAGTTCATTTTACAGCATCGATGTTGTAATGTCATTCAAATACGATCCGTTAAACAAACTTGAGCAACTAAATGAATGCCAAAGCGTAAAACGAGACAAAAAGCCGCTTGCTCGCACTCGCCCGTCAGAATCGGCAGGCTAGCAGAAGCTCCATTAAATATACCAGGGTAAAATAAATGCTCATATTATAAAGACATGGTGGGGGAAATGTAATTTAATGCAGTGCTTCTTGTACAATCTGAGACCCACTTTATATCGGATATCACTCAGCCAGTGGAGATCTCTGATTTTTAAAGAAAACAGACCTTAATCGTGCCTAATTTGCATTGGCATACAATCCACCGAAAAAGATTAACCCAGATTACTGGCAAATTAAAAGTCCTATTAGCATGCTTCGGCATATACCCTATTCAATTAGTTTGTCATGGGGGCCAGTTCATGAAAAGCATCCTAAACGAAAGGCCAAAGAGATGTGACTTGCTATACGAGTGATGACACAACTGCATATAAGAGCCCATATGCTGTATTTTTGCTCCTTAAGAAACCCACGTTGGCCTTTTTTACATTAAATTGTTAGTGTATTGTATTTTAAAACTACCAAATATAACTGCATTGTCCAATAGACTGTTTTCTTTTTTTAAACATTTAAATGTTGTATTTCAGAGCACAACTGCTGAAGTAGGCTTCTTCTACATTCAGACACATTCATATGTTCTGTTTTGAACTGCATAACAACTATTGCTATGTGCTAGTGCTATTAAAAAGGACCATTTATGTGAAGCTGCTTGACACAATCTACATTGTAAAAGCGCTATACAAATAAAGCTGAATTGAAATTGAATAGTGATACAACATTATAGATTTTTGTTGTACGATTATATAGTCTGAAGAATAATTACGCTTTCACGGTTATCACATCTAAATGTAAATTCAAGCTTTATATTAGGTTATTAAGTAGCTATTTAGATTAAATGTTGTTGCCATCTGCGTTCATGCATACATAATCATTTTAATAACAAGCCGTCTAACATATCTTTTGCTTCCATTGCCCTTAAAGGCACGCACAACTGTCACCGTGAGATGTTTTCTACTGCGTGCGTCCGGAAAGACGCAAGTCTGTTATAAATTAGAAATAACAAACTTGCAAGCGGAAAAGGCGTGATATGGGAACGGCCGCTGCTATAGTTAATTCGATGTGCGTGCGCAGTAGCCTTGGTGTACATACTAGAAACTTTAAACTAGCGGTGGCAACTTGGCATAACTTAAGTTTAATTGCAGTAGCTTTGTTTCATTCTGTGCAACAGAAATGCAGCTTAGAGAAGCCTTTACGATTAAGTAACTGTGACTAATTGAAGCGTAGTTAATAGTGAAATCAGCTAATCGTTGCATACCTATTAGCGATATCAGTGCATTGTACAAAAGGCCTTTACTATAAAACATATCCAAATGTTTTCGGCTGCCCGCGCCACTTGATTACGGTGACTCACGCTCTGCGCAGCCTTTAACTGCAGCTCATACTGTATTGAACAGACGCACGCCACCTCATGACTATAGTGAACGTTTTTCGACTGAACTAAATGTATTTTTTAAGTCTTGGTCACACTATTTGGTGGGCCGGAACAAACTGCCTCGGGGCCGGGTTCGGCCTGCGGGGCGCCAATTGAATAGCCCTGCTGTGCACTCTAACACAATTATACATTTTAATATTTTGTAAATGTGGGCATACAATAAAACATAAATAAATAAATAAAGTTAATAATTATTACCAGGGCTTTACATTAACACCCGACAAATGCAAGTAGCTTTCAGCTCTGGCGGGTTAGATAGACACCTCCACTAGCCACTTTGGCTGGTTGGAAATCTGCTACGAAGTGTAGTTTTCTTAAAAGCAGGGTTCGACAATAAGCATGGCCCAATGTTTGTGCAAATGTGATCTTGGAATCGAAAAGCAGCACGACTGACAAAAATAACTGTTCGCGCATAGGTGATGCAATGTGATGCGCGCTACTGTTGAAAAGCGCACGCGCTCCCGTTTACGAAAAGCAACCATGCCTAGAAGAAGCGCAACTGGTGCGATCTGTTCCCTTTGAAATAGACTGGATAAAGAGTGATGATCGTTCATCCACAGACAGTCCTGCTGCTTTCAAGAGCTCAAGATTAAAAAAAAATACACTTATTCTTTTGTAAGCAGCAGCGGTCACTGCTTTCATTTGAATTATTCTTTGAACAGATTATGAAAAGGCCTATATTAACCGTGTGCACGTGATCATCCTTTCATTATCAAACACGATATGTTTTACCTGCTTTCTTTCTCTTACAGTTATTTTTGTTAATATGGTTTAATCATATTTTTTTAATAATAATATTGCTTTAATGGGAAATTAATCCCCGCTTATGTGTAGTTAACTGCTGATCTGGGACTTGTAGCCAGGACAGATTACTGTGCATGTTTTAGATACATGAAAATAATTATTTTTCTAAATGTAATGTTTTTAAAAGAAAAGTTTTGTTGATTATAAAAAGTGCACCTATACAGCTATATTTTCCTTGTTTTGACACATTAAAATTGTGGCTAAAAAATACTTATTTGGTGTGGTCAGAGATAAATTTGGTAAATCCTTAACTTTGAGCCCTGAAAAGTCATGTGAAATAAAAACTGATTGCATTGTGACACAGTCCATTTGGTCATGCACACTGAGCAAGCTAATAGACAACACACACAAGAAGTGAAATGAACGAGAAGGCATGTAGACATCACACAAAATCTAAATCAAGAAATTTAGCATGTCAAAGTCAAATTTATCCATTTAAAACATATTTTCCCAACAATAAAAGTGTGGCTAGTGAAAATGGCGAGTGGTAAGTAATGTTTGAAATCTATTAGCCACAATGGCTGGTGATCAAAAAAGGTCATGTCAATCCCCGACTATTACCTACATACACTTTCAAGCAGCTTCAAGCATTTTATATAAAATCCAAACACTTTTCAAACAATTAAATACTAGATTAAAACTCAAGCATTTCCAGCCCTGTACAAGCCCTGTTTACTTAAACTTAATGATGCAAATCAAATTAGATGCACTAATTTAATAATAAATAAATAAAAAAGTTTAGTAGGCCTCTCATATAATACATATATATATAAAAAAAAGTTACATGACTTTTTAAAATGGACTTTATTATTGGACTTTTACACTGCTTATCAAACAAAGAAACAAAATACAATGGCTGCCACTGTAGAACTGTGAGTGCAAGATAATTTAACTAACCCTGATGGAATTGAAATTAAAAGTAGGAAGTCATATACACAACAAATTAGAAGCAGTTATTTACAGCAGGTAAGTTTACGTCATAGCAGGCCTCTTATATAATATATCCTGGATGGATGCACTTTATTGCACTTAATTTATACTGCTGATAGATAAACAAATGAATAAAAAATGCTGCTACTGCTGGAAAAGTGCCTGATAATTTTCTTACCTCTGATTGGATTTGAATAAAATAGAAAGTGATATCATACACTGAAGACACCTTGAGGGTAATTAAATCATGGCGTAATTTTCATTTCTGGGTGAACTAACCCTTTTAAAATGCAAGAAATATAAGAAAACTATTGACTCCGTACCAGTCGTATTCAGTGATGCTGTAGAAGACGGGCGGTTTGTGTTGGTCTCCGTGACTGAATGCGGACCCCAGAGCGCTGGCTCCTGCGTTTCTGAACAGCAGCCAGTCTCCAACACTGAGCTCGGGCAGCAGACATCGCTCCATCACCAGATCCAGATCATCTTCAGAGGGACCCCACAGACTGCTGGAGAACAGCGGCTCGTCTGCGCTCACATGCTGACAAACACAACATCATTCATGAGCTCTGCTGATGCGCTGGGTAAACATCACATTTACAGCTCTTCAAGAGAAGCGGAGAGATATTTACTTTGTGTGCCAAAGGTGTTGCTATTGAATCTTCACACAGCAGTTTACTGGCAAAAGATCCATAAACACCATCATTTATGTGGTAGAGAAACTCTGGCTCATCGTTTGCAGACAGTGCATCTGAAAAATATATATGGGGAACATTTGATTCTGTTACTGACCGCTGTTTAAAGGGTCACGAAACACCAAAACACATGTGTTGAGCTGTTGACAGTCGTATATGTGTCCCACACTGCTAAAAACACTATTAGGACACCTATATTTCACTAAAAAGTGTAAATTGGTTGTTTTTGCGTTATTTCAAGCAAATTCGTACTTCCTGTTTGAAATTAATTTTTGAAGCTGCGTCACGGTCATGAGATAATAGCGTGTATTCCAGCGTGCAGACTGGACGTCTGTGCCAGAGTGTGTCTTATTACGTCTTACAGTGTGATGCATTAATGCATGAGTAAGGCTTGGTTCCAACCAATCAGCGCGCTCTATTGTGCAACTTCATTAATATTCATTACTGTCACCGTGTTTACGCCACAGAGACGCCACGTTTTGTTGGCAAAACAAGCGTGAAGTGTTGCTTTTATAGTTTGCTGCCGTTAACTTTCGTTTTCATTTTCTCTCTGTGAGAACTCAGCTGGAGTCACGTGTGGATTAACAGTGTACGCGACGCTCGACAACAATAACTTACGTGTCTAAGGAGGAACATTATTTACCTGAGAGCTGTTCTCATCTGCAAACGCTGAGATCCGGATTCGCTTGTAACGTTAGTCTCCTCTTCATAAAGACGCGGCTCTAGTTGCTGGTGATTGTCCTGTCTCTACAGATTTGGTAAGTGAGTGACCAGTGCTCTTTGTTTATTTAGTTTGTTCGTATCGAATTAAGTTAACTATTGCACTGAGTGTAAACATAGCACCGCATTTAGTGACCGGAATAACACACGCGGCTTTCTGACGCTACCTGCCGTGTGCATCTAAGTTTCCGGGAAATGCAGAGTTTTTTTTTCTCTCATTCGCCGTGCGGTATCAAACATTGCATGAAAAATACAGGCTTAGAGCAGTTCCTCGAATCAAATATCTCGTTTGTCGCGAGGGACATGAATGAATTCTCTGATTGAAAGAGCCAAACTGCAGTTAAAGTCCAACATTTAATAATTTGGCAAATAATTCGACTACAGATGTCCATGTAGGTTAAACACCATCACTTTCTCATGTGTGTGTAATTTGACTGAAACTCGCGCGCGCCCAAATAGACACTCCCACACCCTCCCACTTTAGTTCCTCCGACACTCCCCCCTAAACAGAGCTGGACACGCCCACTTTTCTGACTTTTTCCAAAGTAGAGGTGTGAAAACACCCTGCTGAAACGAGGGGGTTTCATGGCCCTTTAACTTATTATTAAACTTTTTAAACTAGTGACAGTGTTAACTTTTCCCAGCAAAATTACTTTTGGGACACTAAATGCTACTGCAATTCCTCTCAAATCCAGCATATATAATAGGCTACAATATACGCATATATCTCATTTGAAAATTCAATATTTACTCCAATATAAGGTTGTCAGAATACTGGAATTAGATATCAATTAAATTGGTTTCAAAGTCACGTTGATTCAGCTGGTTTGTTTAAAAAGCTGACGGATAAAACGCTTCAGTGTCCCTTATTACCTTCACGGCCAATCGCAGTCTTTTCTGTTGAGCATGTCAACACCATGGGAAATCAGCGCTGTTTACAGGGTTTCCGAAGGTTTCATCAAGTCAAATTTAAGACTTTATAAACCCTAAGACCCTAAATAATGAAATTTTAGACTTATACAGGGTTAAGCTATTTTTCTAATGGCCCAGTATTATTTAGTTGATAGTTTTTCCCCGTTTAGGGAATTTAATTTAGGGAATTTGCAGTGAAAATGTCTAACAGCTGTAGTGTACTATCTATATGCAATAAAAAACTTAAATCTAATAAATAAGGTTTTATTGAGTGTTATTGATCACTAGATGGATATCGGCCCAAAATGAGTAGCTTTACTTGGGCAAAGCAAAATTAAGACCTGTTTAAAACTATTTAAGATGTACAATACAATTTGTCAGTGAATTTAAGACTTTTTAAGGCCTAAAATTTAGGTTTTGAAATTTTAAGACTTTAAGACCCTGCGGAAACCCTGGTTTAAGAATGCGCTCAGTAGCGCTCAAATGTTAGCGGGAAATGGAAGTTTTTAAAATTTCAGTATCAAATGGTACCGAATTCCAGTATCGTGACAACACTACTCCTCTATATTCCCCACAGAAAAAAAACTCCACAATGTATCTCATATTCTTGATTTGAGCTAGTACTGACCGTGTGGCTGTGCACTGCAGTCCCGAGCCACCGTCTTCTTATCGATTATATTCACGGCCAGCGTGAAGGCAGAAGAAACGTAATAAGCTCCAGGTTCAGCAATGATTGACAAGCCAGTCGACCGAGGAAAATACATGTCCAGCATGGGCTTCAGCATCTGGTTAACCTGAGGAAAAAAAAAAAAAAAACACTTTAGGGGGCAAAGTATTTACAAATGGCAAAACAATTAAATATTTAAATAAAAAGCTGCTGTATGTAAGTTTTTGACTCTTCTAAATTATAAAACAGTACCATTTGAAGACATATAAAAAAACATTAGGTTTGTCAGGTTCGATTGAAACGACATCTGGAGCGGATCGATTGCAGTGAGAAAGCGATCTGATCCGAGCGCGGTTATATCACTGTGTTTTATGGATATGTAATAGGCTTACGGCTATATGAAGAGAGAATTATGAGCAGGGCGGGAAGTTTCACGAGTCTCCGGATGCCCGCAAACGAGTGATGATCTCGCGTCTTCCTCCCGGTCCTCAAATAGGCATCGTCGCGCACCCTTCTCACCCCTCCCCACCGCATATCTCCTCAGACACATCGCGCACGCACCCTGTCAATCACCACCAAACCACCACCTCTCCTGACAGCTGAGCGGGACGCTGCAAAATAAACCCTGACACTCTGACCAATGTGAGGAGAGTTTACTCACACGTGACTTGTTTTAGCTCTTTTGGTCCGATTAGAAACTTTGCCGTGTGAAAGTGAACCACTCCAAGAGCAAAGAGCAACAATGTAACAATTGCAATCTCTGTTTCAGAACAACTGAATCGATTCACAGGTGTGAAAGCACCCTAAGATCCTATGAAACATGCCAGATGTCACAACAAGATGTTGTTGGCAAGATGGCAGAAATACTTACCACAGAACATTACCAGAGTTCTCCAAATGTATCCACAACTAATTGATTGATTAACTGAAAAGCTTTTTGCGTCATATACACTTGAACTTGCAGTGAAATTGCACCCCCTTAAATGTGTGATATGTGAGAGGTCAGGCGAGGCAGTGGCGCAGTAGGTAGTGCTGTCGCCTCACAGCAAGAAGGTCGCTGGTTCGAACCTCGGCTCAGTTGGTGTTTCTGTGTGGAGTTTGCATGTTCTCCCTGCCTTCGCGTGGGTTTCCTCCGGGTGCTCCGGTTTCCCCCACAGTCCAAAGACATGCGGTACAGGTGAATTGGGTAGGCTAAATTGTCCATAGTGTATGAGTGTGTGTGTGTGAATGTGTGTGGATGTTTCCCAGAGATGCGGCTGGAAGGGCATCCGCTGCGTAAAAACTTGCTGGATAAGTTGGCGGTTCATTCCGCTGTGGCGACCCCGGATTAATAAAGGGACTAAGCCGACAAGAAAATGAATGAATGAATGTGACCGGTCAGACGAGAGGTAGCTTTTAGAAAGAGGAAATAAGATTAGGGAAGAGGGAGACAGACATAACATCGCAACAGGGAATGGGAACAGGGGATGTGGATATAGTCCAATATTGGCGGCAGCCATCTGGTCCTGCAGCTAGGGGGCGCTGGTCACAGACCCGCCTACCCACACTGGTGGGTGAAAGCACTCTATCTGTCTATCTGTAGCGGTGTATGCTTGTAAGCCTGTTGAGTCTCACAGGTGTCCTTGGAACAGGAAGCAAGAATTTCAAGTGTCTCCTTATCATGCTCTCTGGGGAAGTTGTTTGTCTCCAGCCAAGGTAGTCTGGCTAGAAAGTCACAAGAAGGCCGAAAGAGAAGAAAAGGTTTTCAGTTTGGGTCAATATCTGCCATATCCAACGCCCCTAGTTTCTCACCGATGTTTTCCAATTTGTGGTCTAAGGCCTCAGTCTGAGTACCAACAACCCTGCTAACCACTGCCTCAGTCCAGCCATCCAGCTTGGTGGGGTTTTGAGCTGCACTGATCCCTATTATCAATCGTTGATACCCCAGGGCTCCACCTAAACCCATCAGCAGAAACCCTGTTATCAAAGTTCTGAACAGATAGAGATCTTCATTACCCTCCAGGAACAGAGCTGCCAGGCACACGACGTGCCATTTCTCCCACCCATCCATCTTGCATCCAAAAGTCTCCACAGGACAGTTGTGTTCCCCCAAACCCAAACCTCTCATCAAGAAGATGGTGTCAATTGGGTTCAGATCAGTTGATCAAATCCATAATTCCTTATTGTTTGGAGAGCAGGGCAAGGAGAGACTCAGAGGTAGAATAAGATGAGACAAAAGAAGCCAGCCAGGAGAGATATGGGAGGGTATTTGAAATATTATATTCATTTATTTAGCAGCTTCGCTCTCTGACTTCATCCGTCTTGTCATGACAGTTAGCCTACTTGACGTTGCCTGTAATAACTATGATGGTTGGGTTTAGGTTTGGGGAAGATGTAGACGTTAATAACTGTGATGGTTGGGTCTAGGCGTGGTATAGGTGTAGACATTATTAACTGATGGGTACAGCACCATCTTGCTGACAACATAGTTTTGACGTGGGTCTCTGTAACTTCAAGTTACACCTCTAACATACTACAAGTTCCACCCCTTCATGTTATGCCCCTGTCTTTCAGTTTGCAGACAGAACCTACTCTATCTTTCAGCAACCTGGGTTGCCAGTTGGGGAAAATCAGTGTGTTTAATTTCAATCATGAAGTGCATGGTCAAAAAATGCGCCCTCTAGAGGACAGTAGCAGCCTCCAAAATGAGAGACAGATTCAGAGTTATAAAAAATCCACACGAGGTGGACATTAATTACAAAAAAAAAACACAAATATTACTAAATGTAAACATTAGCTGAACCTTTTACACTGTGATGCTGAGTCCACAGTAAACACGGAGCATCACTTGCTTTAGTTTACTCTGAGAATGTTTTTCCTCCTCAAGTGAATTTGCACAGAAGATGCGATTGAAAAGAATTCTGCACATTTGCAGCAAATCCATTGCACATTTCGCTTCATTTGCTCCGCCTGGCAGAAATTCAGCTATGTTTTACACATTTACATTGATTTTCTACTTAATATACTCACAAGCATACTCAATTTCAGTTTCACTTGTGTCAATCTGGCAACCTGCGCATGTCATTTTAAGGAGGAGCGGCTGCAGACAAAAAGCCCTCTCCAATATTTTGAATTTGAACTGCAATATCTAATTCAACCTCTCCTAATTCAATCCTACATATGGCACCTTTAAAAATAATGTCCAGCAGGATGCAATACCTTGTCTAACTGTTCCTCACTTCCATCAAAACCTCCTCCGATGTCCAGGATATTCATCTCGAAGCCGAGCTCTTCCTAAGATCAGTAATTTACAACACATTATTGCAAAGAAACATATTGACAAAGCTCATATCTCTGGATTCAGCAGAAAAGCTCATGATATAAAAGACTTTTAGTTGGAAGAATTAGATCAGAAATTGGACGGACGAGCAGTGACTCACCCCCATATCAAAGACACAGCGGGCCTCAGAAACAGCACGAGAGAACTTCTCTACTTCCTGACAGCAGCTGGGAATGTTGAATCTGTGAAGAGAGAGAGAAAAAAAAGAATGAACTCAAAACACACCTCTTTTACCTCTCTCATAGATGTCATAACTGTGCATGACTGTGAAAGCCTATTTATAAGAAAAAAACATTTGTTTACGCTCTTGCTTTAAGAGCGTACACACACTATATACAGTTGCCTTGAACAAAATTTTCATTTTTGGATGAACTAACTCTTCAATATGTAATGCAGGAGGATTCGCTAAAGTTTTTGTCAGTATCTTTATAAATTAGAGATTTTTTTTTTTAAGTTAACAGTGTTTCCTCTAGGATTTTTTCCAGCTGTGGCCGCAGGCCTTTTTTTTTTTTTTTTTTTACACAGATCTACCAACTACCTGTGGCGTTATTCCAATGACAAATGTCGTGAGCGCAGTATTAGAAGTCGAGATCGCATTTATGTAATAGCCTACAGCATGCGGATCTCTTTGCTTGCGTGCCGATTTCCTCTGCTCGTGCACAAAACTTCTTGCACGCCCCTTCAAATATAAGCCGCTTCAAGAGCGCGCAGATCTTCTTGTGCGCTCTCAAATAAACACTGCTGAAGTGCGATTTAGTGCGCTTATGTAACGAGTATGTCTCCAGCATTTATAAGATTTGCGAGGAATATTTATGAATGTCTCCAATACCTACAGAGCAGCATAAATGTGTCCTGAAGTAAAATTAAACGGCTATACGTCATCTTTGCTGGCCTCACGCACCTATCTGTCAGCCAGTCAGTTAGTCAGCACTACTATAGTTACAGAAAAGTTTGCACTGTTATAATTCACTTACCTTTTGATTGTTATCCGCTATTAAAAAAATATAATGTTTTGAATGAGAAGCTGTAATGTAGCCGTGGCCACCCGCCATGAAAGAAAGAATGTAGCGGAAACCATGGTTAACAAATTTTAAACCTTAGTTTGATAAAGCCTGCTGAAATGCAATGATGAAGCGTAACTGCAATCAATAGTATGCGAAAATAATAGTAAAAGGGAATAGGACTGCTTTAACTTCTCTTTTGGCAAGGCACTTCACTTGATTCTAATTAATTAAAACACTAATTTCTTTAAATCGGAGATGTTAAAAGTCATAAATTTAAAAACAAACACACAAGACCTAATTTGAGGGGTTATTTCCATGTCTAAATTCCCTGTTATGTGGCGTCCTTTATTAAATGACCTCCAAAAACAAGTGTATCTGAAAGTGGACAAACTGATGCTGTCAGGTTTTGCTTGTAAACTATTGATGTTATGTTCTCTATATTTATTTCTTTTATTTATTTATTTTCTATATATGTATGTTTTTGATGATTTAAATTTTAAATGGTTGTTCAATCCATCTCCAGGTTGGAGGAAAGTCCTTACCCCAGGTGGAAGAGTTTAAGTATCTCGGGGTTTTGTTCATGAGTGAGGGAAGGATGGAACGCAAGATTTACAGGCGGATTGGTGCGGCGGCAGCAGTAATGTGGTCGATGTACCGGTCCGTTGTGGTGAAGAAGGAGCTGAGCCAAAAGGCAAAGCTCTCGATTTACCGGTCAATCTACGTTCCTACTCTCACCTATGCTCATGAGCTTTGGATCATGACCGAAAGGACAAGATCTCGGATGCAAGCGGCCGAAATGAGTTTCCTTCGAAGGGTGGCAGGGCGCACTCTTATGGATAGGGTGAGGAGCTCTGACACCTGGGAGGAGCTCGGAGTAGAGTCGCTGCTCCTCCACATCCAGAGAAGTCAGCTGAGGTGGCTCGGGCATCTGTTTCGGATGCCTCCTGGACGTCTACCACTGGGAGGCAACCATGGGGAAGACCCAGGACACGCTGGAGGGACTATGTCTCTCGGCTGGCCTGGGAACGCCTCGGGATCCACCTGGAGGAGCTGGAGGAAGTGTCTGGGGAGAGGGAAGTCTGGGGTTCTCTCCTAAGACTGCTGCCCCCGCGACCCGGCACCGGAAAAGCGGCAGAAGATGAATGAATGAATGGTTGTTCAAAATGTGAAGTATTCAAATATGCAGTTGAAGTCTGAATTATCAGCCTTCCTGTATAATTTCCCCCCAATTTCTGTTTAACAGAGAGCAGATTCTCTTCAGCACATTTCTAAACCTAATAGTTTTAATAACTAATCTCTAATATCCGATTTCTTTTATCTTTGTCATGATGACAGCGCATAATATTTGACTAGATATTCTTCAAGACACTAGTATTCAGCTTAAAGTGACATTTAAAGGCTTAACTAGGTTAATTAGGTTAAAGTTAGGGTAATTAGGCAAGTCATTGTATTGTTCAGTAGACATTCCAAAACAAATACTGCTTAAGAGGGCTAATATTATTGAGTGAATATGCTGTAATGAGTCCAGCGAGACTTACTTGACTCCAGTGACTTGCAGATTGAGTTCTCCAGCAGCACACTCCAGCAGACGCCTGCAGTCCTTCAGTGTGGAGCCGAACGGTATGGCCATCTCCTCTTTCTCACAGCAGCTCTCCGACGTCAACAGCAGCAACACTCTGGTACACAAAAGAAAATGGGGGGGGTATTTGCATTAGTGATGTCATCAGGAAAAAAAACTCCAATAATGCACAGAAATTAGAAGGAAAAAAAACCTTGGTTGGAAGATTCTTCAAGCATCTCAAACATTTAGTCATATTTCACACCAAGTTGCAATTTGAGGGGGTGTATGGAAATGTATAAACGACCACAAGGGTCATCCCACTTAACACAAATTAAGAGAATCAATATTAGTAGTGTTTAAATATCAGTCTTGAACTACTTTTTGTTGTCACAATTAAATAGTACAATTGTTCAAAAGTAGGTTGACAAGCATGCATTTCTTTTGCACTTATACTGAAGTGATTCACGATATCCACTCTCCCATTTGTCAGTGTAATTGAACAATGCTCTGCATTGAGAAACATTAGACAATAGCAGGGGTCACCAATCTTGCTCCTGGAGGTCCGGTGCCCTGCAGGTTTTAGCTCCAACTTGCCTCAACACACCTGCCTGGGTGTTTCAAGTATACCTAGTAAGACCTTGATTAGCTTGTTCAGGTGTGTTTGATTAGGGTTGGAGCTAAAATCTGCAGGACACCGGCCCTCCAGGAACAAGTTTGGTGACCCCTGGCCTATAGTATATTCACTATGGGTTGACACGGTGGCTCAGTGGTTAGCACTGTGGCCTCACAGCAAGAAGGTCACTGGTTTAAGTCCCGGCTGGGTCAGTTGGCATTTCTGTGTGGAGTTTGCATGTTCTCCTCGTGTTGATGTGGGTTTCCTCCAGGTGCTCCAGTTTCCACCACACTCTAAACACATGCGCTATAGGTGAATTGATGAACTAAATTTGCCGTAGTGTATAAGTGTGTGTGAATGAGAGTGTATGGATGTTTCCCAGTACTGGGTTGCAGCTGAAAGGGCATCTGCTGTGTAAAGCATATAACATATGCTGGATAAGTTGGCGGTTCATCCCGCTGTGGCGACCCCTAATGAATAAAGGGACTAATCTGAAGGAAAATTAATGCATGAATGATATTCACCATGGTAATTGTAGTGATAAAAAAAAAATAATAAATTATATATATATATATATATATATATATATATATATATATATATATATATATATATATATATATATAAAAATTAAGTTTTAACTAGTTTTGCAAAAACAAGTCTCAATTATACATGACAAAAAATAAATAAAATTAATAAATAAATCTAAAAAAAAAAATAAATAAATAAAATAAAAAAATTACAATGATCTGTTAATTAGTGGTGGGCCGTTATTTGTGTTAACGTGCTGGTTAACGCGAGACTCTTAACAGGCGATAAAAAAAAAATATTGCTGTTAATCTATTCTTAAAGTTGGGTTGGGAGCTGGGTCTATTCTACACAAGCTATGATCACTTTCACCTTGATATTTTAGCGCGCAAGTATTTCTGACCGAACTGCACTGTAGTTGGTGAGAACGAGTCTTCGAACCGGTGTGTCTTCCTACTTTGAAATTTCCACATCAAACGTGAAATAGAATGAGTAATAGATGCAGTTCACTAAAGTGAATCTGATTAATGTTAGCTCCACCTCTAACCATCAGGCACCTGTAGCGTTCCAGTAAAACATATACAAATAAAATGAACCGGTCACTTTTTAAAATGAATGACAGAGAATAAAAGTCAAACTGGTGAGCGTCTGACAAAAAAAGTGCTCTTCATCAAATCAGCAGAAAGCCCTTCTGGATCTTTCTCTTACTTCGAAGACATGACTGACAACGCTTACATGGGCATCAGTAATCTAGTTATTTGCCTTAACAGACAATAATACAATAAGGTGTTTACGTGAAGTGCTTTCCTATACGAGTTTCCTGTCATCTTGGGTGACTTTAACTGCAGTTGGCTTGAGAAACCCATTCTCAAAGACTTACTTTTAGTCATTATTTGGGTAGCACACATTTTCTGAATGCCTTCGGCAGAATTCAAATGAGCCATTTAATCTAAATTAATTCTAAGATTACAGTGAGATTAATCTAGATAAAAAATTTTTTATCTATGCCTACCTAAACTTTTAAAACAAGTACCTACGTTGTCAAAAGGGGTGTGGGTGCAGTGCAATCTGAGCTGCATCCAATGCTTTTTAATGCGCTCACCTAACCCCACCCCTAACCCTACCCGTCACAGTGACGTCACTCACTCCATTGAGTGCATTGTGTCTGACATTGCATCGCTGAGTGCTGCAAACTCGGCTGCATCCAGATACTATTGAAATAGTCTGAATCGAATTAAAGGCTCTCATTACAGACATAGAATCAAACCATTTATACACACATTTAAAGTTAACTAATTTTGTATACATACTGTAATTCTATAAAATATTATTTAAAAGCAATTTAATAAAAAAAGAGAAAAAAAGCCCCCAAAAAACAAAAACAAAAAACACAACATTGATTTTAAAAGCTAATTAATTAGGGCAAAAATACAAGAATCACTTACCAGAGTTAAAATGAAATGAGTTTTAATATTTTAAATTAAAATGTTAAACTTTCTTGCAAAATAGTTTATTTTATGACGCTAATCAGTACAGTATGACTGCATAACTCACTTTGCTTTAGGATGACATCGTGCGATCTTCCTCATCTCTGCCTCATTGTCACAAACCAGGAGCGGGATGTTGTGTTTGGCTGCATATTTGATATGGGAGAGCTGTTTGCACGTGCCGCCCAGAATAATGTCCTGAGATGAGACGCCAAAGCCCTTAACCAAGTCCAGCTCATGCTGAAAGACGAGCACACAAGACCAAACAGATGAATGCAAGAATAGACATTTTAAAAATAGGTTTCAAAGGGACACAAATAGATAATGGGATTAATTTCTGTCTCGCTTCAATGAGACATTTTGTTTTATATTCACCTTGTTTGAACAAATGAAGCCAGTTCCGAGAGAAGCCAGCAGTTCAACAACTACAGGGCTGCTGTTGCTCTTAACGGTGTAGAAAGGCCGAATTTGGTCCATTTTATTTCTCCAGCGAGCCTGCTGCTGCACGATCACCCCCAGATCAGCAGCAAAAAACGCACTTTTCTGTGCCTAAAAACCAACAAAGACAATACTTCAGTACTGAGCTGTGCAATATGATGATATACAGTTAAAGCCACAATTATTATGCCCTCCTGTGAATTAT